ATAAATTTTTTTTTTTTTTTTAACCTTGCCTTACACAGAGGCATTGTTGTGTTAGCATAGAAAATGGTCCTGTTCAAACTATTGGTATAAAATTAGAAGCACACAATTCCCTAGAATAGCATTATATGCTTAAACATTAAGATTTGTAGTCATGCAAATTACTAAAGTAGTCAAACCTGTTCATTAGAAGGGGGTGTCCCAATACTTTGGGCAATATGTTTGGTGCGGTAGGGGGCCCAACCTCATATTCTTTCATAGGGCCCAAAATTGCTAGCGGCGCCCCTGCTCCCACTAGCAAGTGAAAGAAGATAATTTTACTTGCCAGACCAGACAACTAATCTGATTAAAACATATAATTAGGGAAGCACTGAAATTTCGGCGAGAATTATTCTGGTTTTATTACATTCGGGCAATTGATAATGGATAAACAACAGTAACAACAAGGTCACGCCACTTGAAGCTCACGCAGCCTATCTGTGAGAGAATCTCGTGGAGAAATTAAAACAACTGAACACAACTGCAAACAGAAGAAACATAAAAATGTCACTTGGATCTTATATTTATTACAGCCTAGTTAAGCAATGACACGACCAATAGAGTGAAGTTTTCCCTGAAAACCACGATTGCAAAATTGACATTTTATACAAGAGTTAAAACGAGTAGTTAATATACATTTTAGTTCAATATTTGAATTTAGGATATACTGTCAACGTTGACTGTTTTTGCTCGATTTGGTTAATGAAAATAGTTCCAAACAAAGATCATAGCAGAACAGTCGCGCATCTCTGAACAACACACAGTGGTGTTTCGTTTCTGAATGATTTGTGTTTTTGAATGTTGAATCATTAGAGTCAATGATTCAGTGGCCATTCATAAAGACAGGCGCTTGCTTCATTCTTGAATGAATCAGCCATCCGAACGAATCGTTTGAAGGCATGCTTCAATGACTCATTAAGACAGTCCCTTGCTGCCACCTACTGGCGGTTTACTTTCATAGTAGCTTATCTTTGCATTTTTTCCAACATTTCAAATTTGTATAGCTAAAAAAATAACTATTTTTAAACACCAAGCTCACAACATTATTTATGCTGTTATAATTTTGCAGTCTAAATGCATTCTTGCTATATTTCAGCTACATTGAACTGTCTGTGTAAATGCATCTGAATGCCACTCCAGTCACTTCTGCAGTGGAAAGATCGATTTGGTTCATACTAATTTAATTTGATTGGTAACAGCCCTATATTGTCTTATTATATTAAGTGAAATTATTAACAAAATGTAAGAATTTGATTTGGAACGAATTGGTTAAGAATTGGAAAAATGCCCTTTAAATAGGCCAAAAATGACCTGGAAATCAATTTAAAGAATATGCAGTATTAAGTCATATAAAACGTAATTTCCCAACAACAAAATTGTGGCCAGTGAAAATGCTGAGTGGCAATCTTTTTGGTAAAAAAACCCCCCACAGAAAAACATGTACAATACTTCCCCCTAGTGGTCACGATGAATGGCAGCAAATTCATAGTAGGCCTGCATAAGTAGATTGGAAGAGGAAACATGACTGCATTCAAAACGATTCAAGACAGTCAGTCACACAACAGAGAAATTTCATTAGTCCAACAAGATGGACAAAATAAAACAAAAAATAATCTTCCAACATGGTCATTCAATTGAAAGTTAATTTATTAAATATAAAGCAATATTCTGTATATAGAAAATGTGTTGTGAGATAACAAGTGCACGAGTAATTCATGGTGAAAAATGAAACCTATTTTTAGAAACTACTTACAGCAGTTTAAATTCAATTCATATTCACTCAAAAGGCATTCTTAATTTAATTTTGCATAACCCTGCTACAGTGGTTGCTAGAGGTGCTGCATACTGGCCCATGTCAAGCAAAGTACAGCATGTATTTGAAAATGATATGATAAAAATACGATATTTTTAATTTAGATAATTCTGAAGAAAATGTGAGTGCTAATGCAACAGCCACAACCATGATGTTAGGGTATTGTGGATGGTTGCCAGGGTGTTTTTTCCCCCACTCATTTTATCATCTAACAAGTGAAAATCAGAAATCTGATTGCTTAGAGTAATGACAGCATGAATTCTTATTACGTTGCATGATTTGAGGTGAAATTTAAATTTGAGTAACAGGCTTCGCCTTCACAAGCATCTCTATTAAGTTCAAAGTTAACCAATTTCCTCATTCCTAATTTTAGTTATCTTCTTTCCAGCTTACTCCATCACCTCCCACTTTATCTTCTGTTTTAGAACTGGTGAGGTGCAATGTCTCTTTAGACTGTATTTGTCGTCCCTCCTCTTCTTTCTTTACCGCCTCTAACTCTTCATCCAAACCATGGAGAGTTTCTTGCATGTTAGAGGAGGCTGGCATGACGTCAGTCAGACCGCTGGACTCTGTGCTCGCATTCAAAGAGTTCTGTTCGTCTGATGTTCTACGGCTTCCACCTGCTGGCCCGTGTCTCCTGATGGTCCTTCGATTTCTGCTGCGGCGTGATTGGTTGCAGTGCAGTGTGCGTCTGCGGTGCCATTGGCTGAGAGATCTGTGTGCTTCTGCGCTAAGTTGCCGCTTCGCTAGACGAGGCCGGAAGCTGCTGATGTAAAAAAGGGCAGCGTAGAGAGACGTAAGGTAGTACCCACCTGAGAGAAAGACCGAAAGACAGTATGCACGTTACACACGCTTGTATGTGAATATTAAAAAAAAACTACTAACCCTTCTGGTGGAAAATTCCACTGACGGTCATTCTTTTTATAATTCTAATGCGACATATTAATTTCTTCAAGCAACAAATAGATATCAAACAATTATCTTTGTAAATGTTTTGAAAATTCTTTAAGCATTTAGCCTTTTTCAAATCCCTGTGATTTTCTTTCAGTATGTGTAATTCAGTATGCACATTCAGTATTTTGGTGCAAATTTAAAAAGTTTTACACAATAAAATTGTGTGATTTTTTTAACACAGTCATCTGAATGGTGGATGCTCATGTCCAAACAGAAACATAAAAATGAAAAACTAAATTTAAAGAGGCCTTTATGACACACTTCAGGGTAGTTTCAAATAGAGGGCTTGAGACATAGAAGGGGTCCTGCCATTGAGATGACTGGGAATGCACTGGATAGACCTCTACATGTACTATCTTGGTCTTGGTCCAGACAAACAGTCATTGAGCCAGAAGCTGACATGTTGGACTGAGTATTGCTTTGAAAGGATCAGTGTTTGCCTTACCAATGCATTACAGATGTCACTGCATATAAACTACTAGGGCTGAAAAACTAAATTCAAATTTTATACTTAAATTAGCAAAATTCGAATTATATTCGAATTTAAAATGCATGCTTAAACAACTATAAACAAAAATGCATCATCTTTGTATGCATAGTTTAATACAAAGGGCGGAAAGCCAATCACATTTTTCACATTTAAAAATATGAGATGCAGTGGGATGGGGAAAAAACCCAGCCATAAAGTCTCGATATATGTTTTTTTCAAAGTTAAACTTGTTTTAATTTTACATGGCTTTCTAAACATGCGGCTCCTTTGTGCGAGATGCGAGTGTAACGGTGATAGATGTCCCTCTAGAAAATGCACGAAATATACGTTCTGTGTGAACGGCTTGGTTTCAGTTTTGATGTAAACAAGATCTTCTCCGCATTGATGTTCGCTTCTTCCGAAATATTTTTAATGAACAATGCAGCAGCGCCGCATCTAGTGGCTTCAACTGGATAGGCTAACAAAAACATTATAATGCAACGACACTTACATCGTCATCACATCTCGTGCGCCACTGATAAGGCTGCCTGACGCACAACTAAAATTCGAATGCAACGTTTTTGCATTCGAATGTGGATTTTTATTTTAAATTCGACGAATATTCGAAATTCGATTTTTTTTTGACAGCCCTATAAACTACAGTAGTACAGCAAATACTTTATTTATGGGTTTGAATGTGTGTGTACCCCCTACCCTCTCCTTGTAGTTGCATGGGGTCTAGCAGCTCCATCATATAGTCAGTGTCAACCTGAAGTGTAGCTACATCACTACGCAGCAACACCCATGTCAGGCATGGCAGGAAGTCATCTGCCCCGAAGACCGTACCTAACATGAAACATAAATCTACACCTTAATGACGGAGGTTTTTAGATGTTTTAAGTGCTTAAAAAGGGCTCTATGTGTATATGTTCGGAATTGTTGGTTATTCTGTACAGGACAAATCAAAATTATTAGAGCACTAGTATTTCCACCAGCTAAAATGGTTTTAAGTCAGTTAAGTCAGCATCTTTTGCTGTAGTGTGTCAGTAGGAAACACAGAGATCTGATCTGATCATCATCCAGTCTGTCT